GATCGAAATAACCAATAAGAAAGTTGTCGACAATTCGGCTCAGATACCAACGAGATACTAGGGCCGGCATTCATAATAGGGTGCGATCCACTCTCCACGTTGTAAATGCTTTGATTCATTCTTTGATTGGTAAATTCGTAAAATTTTTTCTTCTAATTGGTCAACGAAGTATTTGTAGCGTTAACTTTACTAAGAAGTTGGAACATCGGCCCTAAGTGTATCACACCTATAGTCAGTTCTTATATTCAAGACCGTCTTAAGTTCAATCATGAACCAATCAGAGAGCCGCATTAGTGTTTTAAGACGTTACTTAAGACGATCTTGAAATAAGAACTGACTATGAATACCAGCCTAAAGGTGCGTTTCAAGGAGACGCTATTAGCGCTATTTCTATCATTCTATCATTCTATCTTCGTTGTTTATTAGATGTAAAACAAGGATAGAATGACACAAATAGCGCTAATAGCGACTCTCCGAACGTACTGTTCTTTTTAGCTGAACTTTTGCACCAGTTCAACTTTCTTCTTCTTCTTTCCTCTTGGAGAGAAAAAGAAGAAAGATGAACTGGTGCAAAAAGTGCAATTAAAAAGAACAATCCTACTATTAAAGATCGTCGACTAATTTTCGTGACTATCAAAGCTGAAGCTCTGGGGATAATTGAAAAACGATGACATTACCTATAATTAATAAAAATTTATGATTATTAACATAAATATTTCGATAATTTATTATTAAATTCGTGATTTTTTATTATATAAATGCTGTATAAGTACGCATTTTAAAGCTATAATATCTTGTATATTGCCGAAAAATTACAATTTTTTCTCTGCAGTTATCATCTCTATTGATAATCAATTCGGATAATAAAATTAAAATGACAGTTTTAAATAAAAAAATTGCATATACAGGGTGTCCCATTTTAAATAATACATTAAGATTTCTCGAAAACTATGGTAGATATGGAAAAATATTTCAAACAAAAGTTGTATGGTTTGGAAGGGGATATAAGAAGGTACCATTGATCTTGAATGGTATCCCCAAGGCTAGATCAAGATCACGTCGATTTTTTTTAAATGGAACCCCCTATTTTTCATTATATTTTCTTGTAGCTTACCTCGAGAGCTTTTCGAAACACTATAATAAAATATTTTTTCATTAAGTATATTTTTCAAATTATAAAATATACACATATTAAAGTATACACATTAATAATACGTGTCTGTGAGGTGGAATTTATGCTGAAATCGAGCGACAAAAAATTTTTCTTAAAATTGCAATTTCGAAATTTTTTGTCGTTCTCGGCATAAACTTCGCCTCACAGCCACATCAATGTGTATGCTTTAATCCTGGACAAGGATTTTCGAATCTGTAAGACAGGAAAAAAGTAATTATTATATAAAAATTACAATTTAATCGGATAAGCCGGTATTCATAGTCGATATAGAAAAAATCAAGGATGCCGTTTGATCCTACTGTATATACTAGTATATGTATATATATATATATATATATATATGAAGTGTAGAGCACATAATGATTTGAGCTAAAGGTGATACAAATAAAGGTTTAAAACTTTGGAAAATTTTATTATAAATTCCTTTCTGCTACCCTTATATATATATATATATTATTACATAAACATATTTTTATACACACGCATGCACGCACGCATATATTAAAGATATTCAGCTCTCAAAAATCAAATCCATGCCTTTGTTATTGCCGCAACTAGGAAAGTTGATCGGTACAAGCGGCAAGTTTCGCTGGAGACCTACTCTCATTAAGAATTGCATTCCAGGCCCGAATAGTGGAGGATACACAGCAGTACTTCTCGCTTCCCACAGCCAATATCCTGATAAAGCAGTCACGATTAAATCAAATTTACTATATATAGAATAGACACGCACACATGCACGCACGCATTCACTCCCCCCCCCCCCCTCCGCGATACTTAACAAAATATTTTTACCTAAATTGTCGGTGTAAAAACGAAGAATAATATATCCTTTATTCGGTACGACAAAAGTATCTTTTTGCACCGGATTCACAAAATTTCGATGTATCTTTCCATTACGGTCCAACGATATAATATCATCTTTGGTAAGAGGTTGCTCAAAACTTTCTCGGGCAACAACACTGGCATTGTAACCATGTAAATGAAACGTATAGGATGCATTGCCTCCAAAGCCTGAGAAAGATACGGTTTCTGTATATACTGGCTTTACTAATTTTTGAAACTGGTAATTTTATAAATTTACCGGATAAATTTACAATTTTTTAAATTTACCGGATACGTATTTTGTTACGGCACATTATATTTTTTTATTAAAATAAGAAAACCTCAGCTACCTTAAGGATTGTTAACGGCGGTAAATACCTTTGTTTATTAATATAATTTCGATTGTTTTTCGAGGTGGAACTTGGAGTAATTGCAAACACTCGCAAAATAACAGTGTGTCGTCACATTCCTTAGAGCGTTTGTCGAGGGAACAAACTGATTTCTCCAAGGTATTTTCTGGTTGCGATAGTATCGGAGATGGTGGATATTTGAAAGACATGCCATTAATCTGCGGTATCCTTATCGCGCCTTTCTGTAAGCCTGAAATTTTTCCTTGATATATAATAATGACAAAAATATTATAACTACATACTGTAGAAAACAAATATGTTTCATTAGATATGCGTGATACAATTTGACACCTATATGATTATATTTTTGAATTCTTCCTAATTTTAAAAGTTTTATTCCTCTTTTTGCACTTGATAATCTAAAGTATCGTATCATTAAATGAGCAACCGTTTCATTTTTGGCAAATAAAAATGTTTTTCAATGATTAAAAATAATTTTCAATGATAAATGATAAACGAATTTTCTTACTTAAATATGCTGGATAATATCTTGATATATAAAAGTTGTAGGAATTGTCTGTCATTTCATCTGTAAAAAATGAGAAAGTGTTTGCATCGAAGGGCACATAGATCGTTTCATCCGCTTTTTCCTCCAATTGCGATAATTTTGCACTCTTCAAATCCAAAGAACAAATGACATTTTTCAATATTCTATGACAGTGATGGCCATTTTCTGCGATTTTGAATGACTGTTCGTCAAAGTTATTAGCGTTTGTAGTCCGTATCGTGTGCGAATCAAGGGCGGCATTTTCGTAAAAAATATATGCTTCTTGATGCAAATTGCGACATTCCCGAAGACCTTGAATATCGAGGGCGTACTTGCCGATTGCCTGTTTAGCTATTAGAATACCATCGAGTCTCTCGCCTGAAAACAAATTCAATATTTAAGTAAATAATTAAATAATTTATACAATTCTCTGCGTCTTATTTCACATGCTGGTTCTTTGATCGATGCAACGCTAATATTAATAATAAATTAATTAGGGCTGCTTGTTTCATCTTCGGATAAATTATGTGATAATTTACATACTGAATAAACGAAAGAATAAAAGCATAAGAGAGTAAGACAGTGAGCTAAAGTTTACCGAAAGATGGAACAATCAGCCATTTATTAATATTTCATAAAAAATAATCGATTACAACTTTTTCATAAAACTTTATTGACTATAAAATTCTATCAAAATGAAATGATTAAAACGAGCTAAAACCAAAAGAATTTATATTATATATAATATATATAATATAGTTTACCCCAAAAATATATTGAAATAATTGCGAAGATTATGAAAATTTATTTTTAAAGAAAAATAAAGGCTTGATCGTATCAACATGTATTTAACTAAAATTTCGCTAAGGAAGAATGCTCAAGTCAACTAATGATCAAACAACAATTACTAAATTTATATACTGATGAATTATTTCAAAATTGTAGATTATTTGGCTTATAGTTTTACTTTCTACTTTTTGGAACTGATATTCAAATGTTAACAACTTATTTGCTCCTTATTAACATTTTTGCTACAATATTAATTTTTGAAAAGTATTAATCAATAGATGCTACGTGTGCATTTATTTTCATTTGCTTCAGGCAAGCATTTCAAGATTAATGGGGACATGTCTTTTGCGCTGAATACTAAGACTTTATATACTTTAAATAATAAAACGTCGACATGATTAAATCGATATAAATATTGTAATGTATGTTTAATTTACTAGTATAATAATTCACTTCTCTATAGATGTAAGACTGACAATTGTATCGAAGAGGGAAATTATATATCGTGTTACAAGTTAATATAAATTTGTAATTATTATCCCGTTATTAAATCGACTCCGTTATTCTGGATACTTAAAATCTTAGTGCTAAGAAAGAGTAAAAGTTTTAGCAGGTTAGTTGACTTATAATCTTATAAGACAACATCTTATGACCTAAGTCTTTTGTCTTTAGTAACGCACAATAATTGTCTTGTGACTCAAGTCTTAAAGGTATGTATATATATATATATGTATACATATATACGAGATGTCACACTCCTCATATATATACACCTTTAAGACTTGAGTCATAAGACAGTTATTGTGCGTTACTAAAGACAAAAGACTTAGGTCATAAAATGTTATCTTAAGATTATAAGTCAACCATTCTGTTAAGGCCCTAACTATATTTACTGATCTATATCGAATTATCGACGATTAGTATTGTGCTTTAGGAAATTAAACTAGTGTGACGCTCGTGTGTGTATGCGTGTAACACGCATTCGTATGTAATATTATCATGGTGGTGATTACAAACAAAAAATATCTCGTAATCATTATCTCATTGTAACTGACAGTTTTTCAAAAAGGTAGAGATGTTTATCCTGCTGGATTACTTGTATTCTTTTTGCATTAATTCTTTTGTTGCGTTCAAAATCATGTCAAAAATAAAGATAAAAAGTTAAATTTCAGTCAACAAACAACGCAACAGTCAAATTGTTTAAATAAGAACGATAAAAACGGGGAAATAATGTAATATATCGACATTTTTTATATCGATAGTTTTTCTGTGGAACGCGGAAATAAACACAAATACAATAAACACTAATGTTGCTTAGAAAATAAACAATCAGCTTGTAAAATAAACAATCAGTATTTGATATCGATAAATCTGTTTAATCACTTGGAAAAATTGTCTATTATATAGTCTTGATCATCGATTCAGTCTTTAGAAGCATCCGGCTTGTAAGAAGATGCGGACGGCGATCATCATGCCATGCTGGCATTCGTTTTAACATTGTTTCATTTGCCCAAAAATTAAACGTTATAAATAAAACAAGTAGAAGCTGTATGAATATTTATTTCATTGCGGCACTCTGTACTGTCTATTCGAAACGCATGCTCAGTCGATGGATAATAGATAGAATAGTTTCTCCTGTCGAATAATTTTCTTTGTTTTATTTGGCGAGTCTTTCTTTTGTCACAGGCCTATTACAGTTGTTCCAAAACCTCGGTTAAAAACGAATTACAGCTCGTTAAAACTTGTTACAGCAAAGGTTTGACCGAACGTAAATTGAGATCAATAGGAATGATGCGCCACGAATGTGAATAGCAACGTTTTCCACGTTGATTATTTGCGTTGGTTCGCACTGATTTTAACGAACTTGTTCATTAGCGACGCGTTTGCGCATAGATCCCGATCTCCGCTTCGAAGAGGATCTGGTTGATCCTGAGCTTGGCAACCGATCTCGAGTAAGAGTCGGGGATCTCGGCGAGCTGCACAGCGATACTCTCACCAAACTTGGCAAACTCTTCCTTGGTCTTTTTTCGTTCTTTCTCGTCCGGTGCGCGAGACTCGAGTTTCATCTGTTCGGACTCATCAAGACCGTTTTGGCTCGGCAAAGAACCATTGTAGAACTCCATTGCCTTCATACTGGACGATGAGGACTCTTCGGCGTCCTCACTGAGCGAGGCGTTGAAGGAACCGGTTCCAGAACCGTTTGTCTCCTCGTTGCAATCCATGAATGTTATACTTTCTGGATCGATGTTGCTCACAATATATTCTTCTTGTAGTTTCGGTTCCTCTTCAATTTTCTGCGAAAAGGGATTAGGGTTGTATCAGGAATTTTATCGCGCTCTGACATAAAAGCAGAATAGAAAGGATTTCCTCTTTCTCTCAGTCTCGTAATTATTTTGTTTAATATACAAACGAATTACGAGCATTCAATCGTATCACGTTCGCACGATCTTAATCACATGCTCTGATCTCCGAGAAAGACTTGCGTCGAAGCTTTCACGTGTATTGATTTTCTTTCATAAAACTTGGAAATTGCATCGCTATTACTATAGTTAATAGTATCATTGCAGCATAGACTGTAAGATTACAAAGTATTTATAGTGCTCGTTTTTGACTCGTTAAAAAACGATAGTGATTTTTAAATACTGAGTGGAAGAATTATTTAAAATATCTGACCTTATACAATGGGTCAATGTTGGCGTTTGTGTAGTCATCGCTCTCGTGGACGGACGCAACGAAATTGAACGATGTCGATATTAATTAACGGCAAACGAATTATTCAAAGGAGAGATCGGACATGGATCGAAATGCAGGATCTTTGTCTTTGCTCGAATTTTCGCTGGGAAGCGGACACATCGCTACGCGTCGCCACGGGCCAATGAAATGCTTATCTCGACCAGCGACGCGTCGCGTTACTCGACTACTCATTGAGATCCAAGTTTCGTTATCATTAGCCACCGTCGTTTGCAAATCACGATATTTATATATCTACGTACTGTATTTATAGGACCATAGGATATAGGAGATATAATTTCTTTCACGAATTAAGCGAAGCATAATTACAACCGAGATTATTTCCCAAAGACACATTTTTGAATGATGCGCGTAACGAGGTAACATATCTTTAAACGTCATTTTAATCATTTTGTAAAATTACACGAGAAAAAAAATTAGCTAGTCAATCTACGACATAACGTTTTCTTTTATGTTTACCTTTCCATTTCATCGTTTGTATTATTAGACAAATTATTTGCGAGATCGTATATATTTTCGTAAAAATAAAACCAAGAAACCCGATAGATTTTCGTAATTCGCTATATCCCGCGTAATATGATTGATGACGGAAGGAGCCCTAGAACAAGAACGATATACCGAGCGCATTTCCTTCATCGTTATTGTTAAAAATCTCAAGAGATGAAATGATTTGGGATCATTTTAGGAAATGAGTATTCCTCTACCTTCTTCCTCTTGCTGTATCTACGCGTGCCAAATTGTAAGAATTGCATTGCTTTGAAGGCGAACCACTTGGAGACGTATACGTCGTCCGGGCCGATGGCGGCGTCGCGACTGTTCTGTATCTTGTGTATTTCCCGAGAATACTGGCACTTGAGATTAGTGATCTTCTTCTCAACCTCGAGAGTGTTGCAGCAGAGAATCTCGGCGAGCTCTTGTATAGCTCGTTTGCGCTTCGTTCGGTCGCGATAGCCTCGGGCGTTCCAATCCCAGAGAACGCGTCGTTGTTGATACTCGCGTAGCAGCTCCAGAGTTTTGTCGCGGGTCCATTCCATGCTGATGCCGCGCGTCTCGCTGTACACTGGCCGTACCGTCCTAAGGCCCGTGGTGGCTGTACATGTAAGAGATACCTCAGGACGTCAGGATGGAAAGTATAATGTGTCGGTGCGACAATGTAGAAAGGTTTTCTCGGAGATGCCACACCGCGCGCGCGAACAAGCGAGCGAACGGTGCGGTCCAAGTACTCAAAGTATTCAAAGGCCGACCGGCTGACGTCGCGGTTGCCTCCTGTCGTCTGCTAATAAATCACGGGCCGGAACGTCAACACGACGTAAGCCGTAGCCGCGAAACGAGCACGCGTTTTAATGATTTTTGCGCGGAGCTCGCGCGCTTCGCTACCTTCCTTTCTTTATTTCTCTTTACGGAAACCCTGGCGGGAGCACGAAGACGACCGAGTCTGCGCGAACGTTAGCCTTCCTGCTATGCCACATTGTTATTCGAGCCTGTTAATATCATTGAGAGAGAGACAGAGAGGGAGAGAGAGAGGGGGGAGGGAGAGAGGGGGAGGGAGAGAGGGGAATTTCCTTCTCTCGCTATTGCCGATGCCACCATCGCTGTCGATCCTGCTGGTGCTATCAATGTGCTTTCCTCCTTTCTTCCTTGTTGCTTTGTAAAATTTCAAGCGCAGAATCACATCGAAGTCAAATCGAGCACAGGACGTTCTGGACTATTACTGAGTATATCTCATGCCTCGTAGTATCCATTTTTCCAAATATTCATTGTCGAGACAATCTTTTTCATCATTCGTCTATCCTTGTCACTGGCCATGAATAATTTAAATCCGCGCGTTTACAAGATTTCAATGAAGGCCTTGTATCTACAACTTAAAAAAAGTGCTTCTTTGTACAATACTTTGTGCAAATCTAAAACAACTCTCTCTTCTCTCCTGCGAATCCCCCATCCGATTATCGGTGTTTTTTGTCGGAGCAGTAGGTATGTAAAACGCGAGAGTAGTTACGTTGAAGTGTGTGTGAAAGATCGATCGAAATCCATTTCTTCCTCTCATGCACGAAATGCTTCTTATTTTAAGACGCCAAAGTATCTTCCATCATATTTGTAAAATCATTATATGATTTTGGTTCCAGTTGATAAGTTTGATGGTAAATAAAGGTACATTGCACTGATTTTTAAGTCGGGGGTTAAAAACAGGATTAAAGTAGACGCAAAATTAGGATGTGGTGCAGTGGATTTTATACTAAAATCGAAAGAATGTTAAAAAATTTTTTAATTTTTTCTCGATTTTAGTACAAAATCCACTGCACCACCTCCTAATTTTGCGTTTACTTTAATCCTATAAAAGGTTTTTTTATTCCGTTCAGTCAATTCGAAGATTTTTATACGACTGTAATGTAATAATTTGGTCACTCCAGTATCCCCTTAAGTCGTCACTTCGCCTTGTTTATTAATTGCAGTCAACCTTTGTTACGAAATGTTTACGCGTAATTCAACATACCTAAGGTGCGTTCGGGGAGACGCTATTAGCGCTATTTCTGTCATTCTATCCTTGTTTTACGTCTAATAAATAACAAAGATAGAATGACAGAAGCGCTAATAGCGTCTCCCCGAACGCATCACTAATAGACGATATTTTTATGTATGTACCTACGTACGCCTTAATCATCTTACTTCATTCTATTTTCGAAAGACTTTAATATCAGACAATATTATAGAATAAAGCTCTAACGATAGCTTTATATTATAATCCTGCTTTATACCTTAGGATCTAGCGGAATAAGTATTCTTTACGCACGTGCAATATATACAATATACGTGCGTTAGATAATTTCTTTTTTGTCTCACTGTTCCATTGAAAAATAATTCCAAATTCAATGAATCAAGGTACAATTTCGCTGTTTGCATCCTTTTTCTCTTAAAAGTATCAAAGATGTGTATGTAAATTCGTATACAAATGTTTATACATATACATTTGTATAATATGCAAATATGTTTGTATAATACAAAAAAGATTTGTATTATAATACTATTCTAGCATAAAATCGATTAGATTCAAAATGTGTGCAGCATCGATAAAAAAAGACTGTGGATACAAGGATGGGATAGATAGAGCAATCCGAAATAAAACGTACCTGGGAATAAAACGACATGCGTGCCCGTCATCGATTGTACAGGGTTGCCGTCAGCAGCAAGTATTTGAAGCGAATGTCCATGGGTGGATAATAAAATGGGACAATCGTGAGCATTTGCGTTAATGAGGCGTAGTAAGTAGTGAAATCCATGCTTCACTCGCACAACCACTTGCTGCGCCTATAAAAATGTCAAATATTCTTTAGGTCGTCGTTGAATTATCCAAAGTATCTGCATCTACGCCACAATTGGCAATTGTATTCGCATCGCCCAGCTCGATAATCTCGATACCGGGGTCCGCGGCCTTGAATCAACCTGGATTACCTGGAGTCGGAAGTCGGAACGAATGTGAATGTTTGCGAGAGGGGAAGGACCGAGAGATATGGACTATGTTCAAGGAGGCTATATACCTGGCCATTTACAAGGAGCTCGTCCGGCGTAGGTGGCGAAAGGCTCGCACGTCGCGTCAGCGGAACCGACGACCTTGATGAGAAGACGAGTGTCCTTTCTAGATTGAGATCCTCGTCCCGTAGTCCTCGAACTATCAACGACCCGTACACTCCGTCGCCCTGCTGCGAGACTAATGGTCCCTTTTATTTCTCTTTTCTTTTTGGAGTTACCGCGCGAGTTACCGCTACGCTACGCCCTGCGGTTCTACGCGATTCGTGCCTCGGCCAGCCTCGGCTCGACACGCCGCACGCTCACCAGGCACGCCTTCGTCAGCGGTCAGCTTCGCGTCTTTCGTTCCGAGAGTCAAGTCGTCGAGATCCTTTGAATCGCGAAAGCGCGAAAGGCGCGCACAATAGGCATTTCCCTTCTCCAATTAGAAGGATGCTTCGCGGCGCGTGTATCATTTCTGATCGAACGAATTTTCGCTAAATTCAAAGAGAACGTGATCTTTATTCGCGCAGCGGAAGAAGCAGTTACGCGGCGATTCCTGCTCTTTCGAGATATCGCGAACTATTATTATTGATCTTGCTTTTCTTGATGCGCGAGCGCCGCGGGTAGATGTATGTTACGTTCTACGGCGTAGACCGGAGTCAAAATTGGTCAAAATCGGGCGAGTCGACTCGTGTAGATTCGTGACAGACAATTGCGATCCGCACAATTTTTTTCCCAATTTTTAATTTTTTTTCTGCTTCACGTTGACGCTCGCACATTGAAGTAGAAGTTAAACAGAAATAAGAGAAAAAACCGGAAATCCGTGAAAAAAGGATCACCATGTAATAAAATTATTCAAGTTCGTTAAAAGCTGCGATTGAAAAGACAGGGAAAATGTTAGGAAATTGCGATAATCCACATATCTACCTGAATGAGCGTGATAAAAGTACGTTCCCGTGCTCTCCGGAATTATCTTGTAACGAAAGCCACCGAAGGGTAAGATAGGGCACTGTGTTATCATAGGCACCCCGTCCATGTAATTGGAATCCTTTTGCCGGATTCCATGCCAATGGAAAGCCAATTCGTCACTTCCCAACTTGTTATAAACGAGAACCTCTATCGTGTCACCGAGACAAATCTATCATAAAAGTATATTCTTATAAATATCTCCAATCGCTAATTGTCAATGATAATTGCCGCTCGTCTCGTCTCGTCGCGAAAAGAACGAATCACGCGAAAAACGTTTTATTTTTAAGGGGATGCTGGAGTGACCAAGGCTGTGTTCCAAATTTACTGCCAGTACTGAAAATGCTACAGTTTACGTTACGTGCACTATAGATTTTCAGTACTCGCAGTCAATTTTAGAACACAGCCCAAATTATCACATTACAGTCATATAAAAATCTTCGAATTGACTGAACGGAGTAAAAAATTCTTTTATAGGATTAAAATAGACGCAAAATTAGGAGGTGGTGCAATAAATTTTATACTAAAATTGAAAGAATGTTAAAAAATTTTTTAACTTTTTTTCAATTTTAGTACAAGGTCCACTGCACCACCTTCTAATTTTACGTCATTTTAATCCTATAAAAGGATTTTTTATTCCGTTCAGTCAATGCGAAGATTTTTATATGACTGTAATGTGATAATTTGATCACTCCAGCATCTCCTTAAGATCTACTATTTTCTATACTTTTAGGACTTGAAAAGAGTTTTAGTGCAGTAACAGAAATTAATAAACTATTTAAGTATATCAACGGATATGGCCGTAATAACACAAACACGAAGTAGATAGGTTTAAATTGATTAAACCATTAAATCTACCTTCGAGCTTTATGTCGAATCCACATACGTTAAAAATTAATTTATAATTAGATTTGTCAAAATTAGTTTTGTTTTACGAAAAACAATTGAATAATATTACTTGATGCTACTATTGAGAGAAAAAAAATTTTTCATATCACACGAAATTGATACTTACTTGTATAGCCGGTCCTGGACTTTTCCCGTTAATCGTTAAAAAGCTCTTTGTTGATCGCACGGTAATATTTTCGCTACTGCTCTCGCGTTTGTTGTAGAAACTGCTAATATTTTATTAACAATAACAACATTTTAATGACACGTCAGTACTAATAGGAGTAAAGTTTCGTAATATAGTTAAATTATATTATTTTTGTCGGGTTTAAAATTAAAAAAAAAATGCAGCGGATAAATAAGTCGAGATAGTTATTGAGACAAAAGAGAGAGAGAGAGAGAGAGAGAGAGAGAGAGAGAGAGAGAGAGAGAAAGTTATTATCTGTATTAATATAATATTTTCACGATGTTATGCACTTATAAAAATGCCGTATATTCGATATAATTGAAACTCACCATTTTCAAATTCGCGAGTAGCGGCTCTTATTCTCGATTAATAACTCTTCTATCTATATGTTAATAAAAACAATCGATAAATACGTTTCACAACGTGGAAAAAAAGCACGGAGAAACGGTGCAAGTGTATCACACATAGTTTACGCCAAGACGCCTGTATTATCAGCCATTATGCGCTTCCGCTGAGTCCGAGTCACAGTTTGTATAAGATGTGTTTGTGTAGGTATCTATAGTGTACGACGTACATGTACGTATACGTGTAGCAGATTATGCACAATATTCAGCGATGTTGGTCGATTCAGGATGGAATCTGTTACCTGAACGCTACAATCATGAATATTAACCGTTACAACACCAATCCGCGACCGCAAATATCCATTGCATTTGCTTCCTACAGTACATTTCGGAAGATAACGGGGAATATCACCGGATATTTCTCTCTCTCTCTCTTTCTCTCCCCCTCTCTCACACGCCTCTTCTCATTTGTTTTTATAGCGCGCATTTTTAATTAATGTATCACATCCCAGACAACAAAGTGTCTAAAATCAAGCCATAAGACG